CAACCGAAAGTATTGTAATAGGGAAAGGAGATCCCCAGGAGTGATATGAGAGGGCATGTTGTCCTTAGTGGCTTTTTGTATCTTTGTTTGATATTTTGCTGATGGTTGTGTGTGACAGGAGTGACTAATTCATCTGAATGTATGTGATGCTGAAGCTGATAAAAGTAAAGCATTTTATTAATCTGGGACTAGGACTCTCTGCTTGAAATTTATTTTTATTACTACTAACTAAGAAAACAGCTATTTAATCACATTAAAGTAGATAACTGGGGAGAGAGCATGGAGGGGGCTAGGTCCTGGAGGTAAAAGCAAAACACAGTACAGCAAGGAAAACATACCTTAAACCGTAATGCCCAGCCCAAGTCCCAGAATAGGAAAATGGAGACTGTGGTGTGGACTGTTTCCTACAGGAGTTTGAAGCTAAGAAAGATCACGATTGTAGTGTTATACTGTATGTGTTAAACCTTCTGATAGTATTAGAAGTACATCTCTGGAAAGCTAAAGCTCTATGCTCTACATCTTTTATTCTTGGTAGTTTTTGGCACCCCCAGATGGTTTTTCCTTGAGTGACTGATGTATTTCAGTTACCAACTAGCTCTTTGAAAGAACATCTACTCCTTAAATGGAAATCTGCTTTGTAAGGCTTTGTGCTGTGGGATTGAAAGTTGTATTTGGAAGGTCGATATAGGGGTTTTCTTTTTGGAAAGGTCGTTGTCTGCTGTCATCTTATTTGGAATAGAGTTTTATAATATAAAACTAGAGTTTAGATTTACATATCTCCAAAAGTAACTTCCATGTTCGTACTTTAAAAAAAAATTGCCTTTACAAGTCTGCATCTTAGGTATTCATGAAGATTGTTATTCAAGGGTTTGATGTCCATGTATTTCGCTAATTTTTACAGTGACCAGGGTTCATTTCAGGAATCCATATGGGATCTCAATAGCCTCATTGGTGCATAAATGAGCAGAAATGGGTACAGACAACATTCTCTGATATTCAGAAGTCTTTAAAGTACCCATGGCTTCCAGTTTTGCCTGCAGTTCCAATAGGTCGTTGTTTCTTCAAATCATGGTGCTTCCTCAGTCTGTCCTATTGGTAGCTGCCCAGGCCCTTTTCTAGCTCTGCAGTGATACTTTACTGCAGTATTAAAGGAGGACTATCTTAAAAAAAGAAGCCAGAGAACTATAGTTGCCTTCTTAGTTTGTTAAAGGACTGCATTCCTTTTTTGTGGCCCCTTATTTTTCTCTTGCCTTTTTTCTAAAGTGGTATTCCATGGACCACTCAGAAGTTAAAACTTCCTCTACACTTGGTAAGGCTGAGTTCTTTCCTTTAACCATAGTATATTTTGGAGCTGTAATTAATAAATTTGATTGGAATCACCAAAGTCAAATTTTTATCCTGATTAGTTGCTGGATCATATGTTCCTAACCAGCCGTTTTTTTCAAACTGTAAGGTCCTGTTGCAAGGGCTGTTGGTAAACCTTGCTATGTTTTCCAAACCAAGAGGCCATTGGATAGGCATATGTGTTTAGGGTATCCTGGCCTCTTCTTGACTGAGCGTATCACTGTCCTTTAATCAAGCTAGAAGGTACACTTGAGCTTTTTCAGATAGTCCTTCTTTAAACCTGCAGGATCACAAGTAATCTTTTTAATTTTCTTGTGTCCGTCCGTCTTTAATTTCTCCAGATACTGCAGGCAAACAGCTCGCCGAGGTGTCCCATGGGGGTTTAAAAGCCGCATCGAATGCAGTTGAATTAGCGCCCGTGGCGCAATCCCGCGGCCTGAAATGAACCCTGCGAGGCTGTGTATCAGAGGGTATGTTGTTGACTATTGGCCTATTTTCCTATTGGGCAAATTATTCGGTCATAATGGAGATGGGGGCAGAGCTGACTGAGGCTGTGCAAAAAGACTGTCTTTTCTAGAAAGGATCTTTGGGGGCAGACATCAACTTTGAGTTTAGTACTTTACTTAGCCCAAAAGGGTGCCCTTCTGACTTCCGATCCTGATGGCGTAGGCCCACACCCATGAAATGTTCTTCCCTGAGATTTTCTTCTGTTGTGCCAGAATTTCTGTTTAGGATTCTTTATCTTGCCTCTGTTCATGTTTCATCTGTATATATGTATTAATCTAATTAAAGCACATGTGGTGTATGTTATGGGATTTTCTAGCATAGTAGTTTGGATGGACAGGTAACCTGGTTTTTGCATTTTCTGTCCTCAGAATGGATGATGACATGAATTTTTATAGGTCTTTTGTTTGGTGTCTTCTATCTTGATGCAATACACATATTCCTATGTTTGTGATATATTATTCAGAAGTAAACAAAACCAAGGAGCAGCCTGTCTTTTTTCTGAAGGACAGTAATTTTTATTTGTGGTGGTGGTGGGATGGTTATATTATTCTGGTATTTTGGGAACCTTTGTATAAAACAAAGTTTATCTTAGATGCAGAAAAACATGGAGTAATATCCCTTCCACAATGGCACTAACCAAAACCTTGACTGATGTGGTATAACAAAACCTTCAGTCCTGTTGAAATGAACATAACTGCTAGGAGAAAGTCTACATGGTGGTAGCAGCAGCTAAATATTATTAGTAGTAATATTAGTGAAGAAGACATCTGACTCCAGTATAGGATAGAAGAAAAATATCATTTTTAAAAACTGATATTCTGTTTGGTGACCAAGAACTTTAAAGATTAGATTCAACATCTTGATTTTAGTTTGAGTGTTGTTTTGTTTTGTCTGGCAAGGTATGTCTTTGTTACCTGACATGTGAAATGTTTATACCAAGGTGATGTCTTTCCTTCCCAGACCTCAGAATATATTATTCAAGCTTACAAATATGGTGCATTTGAGAAGATCCCAGAGTTTATCGCTTTTAGGAACAGGCTGAATAATTCTCTTCATTTTGCACAAGTCCGTACTGAACGGATGTTGTTAGACCTTCTACTTGAAGCAAATGTGTAAGTATTGCACAAGAGCTAATAAGGAACTAAGAGATTAGATCAGATGCTGAGAGCCATTAATGGGCCTCATGGGTGTCACTAGCGGGCTTAAGCTAAAGAAAAATGGGAAAAAAAAATGTAGGAGGGAACAGGGAAGAAAGGGGAAGGTGCCTGTCATGGGGAATGATAGGGTACTGCCAGCACCATCCCAGGTTCCATACAGAAACCAGCTAGGCCATGGTCATCATCCCTGGCCCATATTATGTTTACAAGCTTCCCCATACCCTGCAAACATGGGATTTCAGGAATTAATGCTGATGAACTTTATTTTGGTTGGGCCTCCAGATGCCTTTCTTTTGCTGTGTAGCAGGCCAGAACCAGCGCTTGGTTCTATTTCACGTTATATGAGCTCTTACTTCCTAATATTAAAGCCTTCCTTTCTTCCTTCACTCTTTCCTTTTCTCTCTTTCTAGTAAAACAAAGTCCTGGCTAACATGTTTTCATGACTATTTTATTATTGAATAATACTTAAATAAATTTTCATTATCACAGATCAACCAGCTTAGCAGAAAGTATAAAGTCAATGAATCTTCGGCCAGAAGAAGATGACATTCCATGGGAAGCCTTGCGAGACAACAGAGACTTAAATGTTTTCTTTAGCTGGGATCCAAAAGACAGGTAACTTGAATTTAACCCCAAGCAATTTATTTTTAAAGAATCAAGATGAATTTAAGAGTTTTATATATTATATTATATATTATGTATATATAATAACATTTTTATTGTAGGGATCAGAAAATATAGTTAAGCCAAAGGGAGAAAAGAAAACCTCACCCCTATGTTGAGATTACTGGTTAATCTAAAAGTTAATTCCTCCTTCACAGCATACATGAAAACGGATTCCAGATGGATTAAAGATTATATGTTAAAACTTAGAAGAAAATATAAAAAATACTTTTAAATGGTTGGGATAGTCTTTCTCAGCATTACATCAGATCTGGAAACAAAGGATTTGACCTCTAAATATTAGTCTTCTATATAGAAGTAAATTTGTTAACAAGTTCTAGAGGTATCTGGTAAATTGGTAAATTTCTTCATATATATTAATATCCTTCACATATACAGAGAACTCAATAAATCAATAAGAAGAAGATAAAGGAAAAACAAATGGGGCAAAGGGTTTAATAGGAAATTAAAGAAATGTACTTTACAGCAATAAAGATTTGATTTTAATCTATCAGACGAAGATTTAACCTATCCCATAAAAAAAGATTAATCCTTGTTCTCAGCTAGGTTATGGGAAAGTGGTTGTTGTGAGTTTATATGGCAGTAAAACTTTATATAACCTTTCTATAGGGAATTTTAGTTATATGTATCAAGATTGAAAAGGCTGTGTACCATTTAATTCAGGAGAACCACTTCTAGGAAAGTGGAAACTAAGGAATAAGTGCACAAGTATGTAGAGACATGTATAGAAGGTAGTTCTGAATATGCTGTAATTTGGGGGCTGCCAAGACTACATTCAGTGATTTGCCAGGACTCATGGGATTCTACATGTAGTTGGACCCACAACTAAGTTGTTTTATAACAAAAGGATACCTGACAGGATCAGCAAAGGGAAAGACATACAGGTGGAGTTTGGAAAACTCCATGCACAGACTTCCAATGTTCTCTCCCTCCTACGAAGGAATATACTGAGCGTGTGCTCCTTTTTCCAGCAGCAAAAAATGCAGTATTTCTGTGCAATATTTCTACCCAGAGAAGCCCATTAAAGATTTGGTGCCCAAGGTTTTCATCGGCTGGTGATATAGGCACCCTCAGTCTATCTAGCATGTACCAACATTTCAGACTCCCAGAAGGAAAGCACTGTTCACCCTTAACCACATAATTTGTACGAACAATCTAGGCAGGTGAGCCACTCTTGTCATTTAGGGAATGGTTGGCCTGCTAGGTTCCCAGACATCAGGCAAGGGCCAACATTGCAAGTAGGCCCTTCTGAAGATAATAGCCTCACGGTTGCTATGTTAACTTTTTTTTTTTTTAAAGAATATTTGGTGGGGGGATTATTTATTTATTTATTTGTTTGTTTTATTTTTGACTGTGTTGGGTCTTCGTTGCTGTGTGTGGGCTTTCTCTAGTTGCGGTGAGTGGGGGCTACTCTTTGTTGCAGTGAGTAGGCTTCTCACTGTCGTGGCTTCTCTTGTTGTGGAGCACAGGCTTTAGGCACGCAGGCTTCAGTAGTTGTGGCACGTAGGCTCAGTAGTTGTGGCTCATGGACTCTAGAGCACAGGTTCAGTAGTTGTGGTGCACAGGCTTAGTTGCTCCGTGGCATGTGGGATCTTCCTGGGCCAGGGATCAAACCCACGTCCCCTGCATTGGCAGGCAGATTCTTAACCACTGCACCACCAGGCAAGCCCTATGTTAACTGTTTTCTGTACACACTGTCATAAAAAGATGCAGTTTGCAAAATAGTATAAACACTGTGAACCCATTTTATCTGTTTAAAGTATATTACATAAATATTTGTAGTTCATTTTTGTACATTGTATTGCAAAAGTCTGAAACGATCTATACCAAGCATGTTAATATTGTGGGTTCTCCATCAGTAGTAATGTTGTAGTTATGACTTGTTGACATTTCCGTTATAAACTTTTTTTTTTTTTTTTTTTTTGCGGTACACGGGCCTCTCACTGTTGTGGCCTCTCCCGTTGCGGAGCACAGGCTCCAGACGAGCAGGCTCAGCGGCCATGGCTTACGGGCCCAGCCGCTCTGCGGCATGTGGGATCTTCCCGGACCAGGGCACGAACCCATGTCCCCTGCATCGGCAGGAGGACTCTCAACCACTGTGCCACCAGGGAAGCCCTCCGTTATAAACTTTAATTTTGAATTGTTTATGCAGAATAACTGGATTTATGTTGTGTTAGGCTGAAAGTTGACAATTTTGGCTACCATTTGTGGATTTTGACCTAGATTCATTATGCATATCAGAATCTTTTTTTTATAAGAACATGGAAAAACATTTGTTGTAAACTGCTCTTTAACAAAGAATATTTAGTTTTTTTAAACATAAAGTTTGGCAGTTAATAGTGTGAAGCAGATCATATTTGTATTGATTGAAAAATGAAACTTAGAAACTTAGATTTTAAAATCTAATTTAAAATCTAGTGACAGTGCTTAGCTTACTATTATTTATCATTTGAATCATCTAAATTTAGTGAGAATATTAATTGAGAATGTTTTTCTTTCTAATTTTTATACTCTGTAAATCACGGCCTTAAAAATAATAATGCATAATGAAACAATTCCAACATGAAAAGTGTTTTTTACTTTTGTTACATAAAAATAATTTGAGTGCTTACTTAATATACCTTGAGTGGTTATCTAGTAAATCACTAAATAGATGGTATCACTCAACAAATAATGTTATTATTTTCTGAAGGAATAAAGATTTCCAGTCATTAAACAAAAACTAAATAATCAAGTGTTCTGTATCAGGAATTCTAAATATGCCTTTCTAAGATCCTTTTTATGTGTCATTTTTACCCTGAAAGTTTTAACTAATTGAAGTGATGGTTCAAAATAAATTTTAGAAAACTTAGGATAGCATGGATTCTGTTCCTATAACAGAATCTCAGTGGAATATTTTTCCCAAGACTAATACAAATTTAACCTGATTTTTTTAAGACTTTGTTAGCTTCCATTTAAATGATAGTATAGGGACTTACCTGGAAATCAGGTCCAATGGTTAAGACTCCACCTTCCAATGCAGGGGGTGCGGGTTTGATCCCTGGTGAGGGAACTAAGATCCCACATGCTGCGGGGTACCGCCAAAAATTTTAAAAAAAGAAGGAAAAAAAAGATAGTACAAGCATATATTCTTTGGGAGCATTTTTTGTTCTTCAGACAAACAGAAGTGATTTTAATAAGGCTTAATAATATTTAATGGCAACCTTCTGTTCCATTTTAAAAACCTAGTCTTTTAGCCACTTTGACTTTTTAAATACATGACATCTTTACCAAGTACACTGAAGGTCTATTATAGGGAGAACTGGTTGGGAGAAAATAAAAGTTTTGATTGTAAGTCATTCATTTAATTAAAAAACATTGCAAATACTGCATGTTGTTATTTATGTAAAATCAGATAAAGGACATTCTTGTCAGGTTCCAAAATTTGTATATACTTTTAGGTCATAAGAGTTAATAGTTTTATTTATTACTTTGTAGATTATGTTATTTATGTGTGAAACAAAGCAGGAAAATATATTGAGAAAGAATTTGTTTATGGAGGAGTTTTTTAGTGTGTTACATTTCTTAAATGTAAACATATATTTCTAACGCGTACTTAAGTAATGTTTAAGGAAACCAAAGTAATGCATTGTTGTGCATGTTGGCAGTCAAAAATAAAACCATTTTGGTGGTTAAAAAATATATATATATTGTGGGTTCTTGGTTATCAGGTCCCCTTTTCCTTTTACTTTTTTTACTTTTCTGTCATTTGAATTTTTTATATTATGTATTTTATCATCAGAAAAATGAATCTCATGTAAGGGGAAAACGACCTGTTAGGTAGGTTATCTTTCCCATTTTATGGATACCGAAATGGGGACTTGGACTGTTTTGGTTTGTCCAAGATCATTCAGCTATTAAATGAAAGCTGAGACCATTCAAAGGCGTCTTGACTGATGAAAGTGAACTTTGAAAGCTTTAAAGTTAACATGAATAAAATGGATGGTTTGCGGATGTTTCTTTTTAAGGGATGTTTCTGAAGAACATAAGAAACTTTCCTTGGAGGAGGAGACAATGTGGTTAAGAATCCGTTCCTTAACCTTGAGGCTGATCAGTGGACTTCCAAGTCTTAACCATTCTGTTGGGCCAGAGAACTCAGAGAAGACCACTGAGAATGGAGTATCCTCCCGGATTGATATTTTCCGTCTGCTCCTTCAACAGCTGGAGGTGGCCCTGGAGACGGGAAAGCGATTTATTGAGAAGGACATTCAGGTATCATCAGTGCGTATTTACAATCAAAGCTGCAATAACATGTGACTGTCTTTTTGAAAATAGGAATTGGGGATGGCTGAGTAGTAAAGAACAGCATTTTGTCCCACTTTATGGCATCTACAGGAAAAAGACAAATTTTTAAACTTGGGGAATTGCAGATGCTTCCTCAGTATCCAAATTGGATAGTGAGGAAAAGCAAAATAGCTTTTTTGTGATGGTAAACTTTTTAATACCTGTCAACAAATTAATACAGCGTTTCTGTTTTCACCATAATGATTTGGTTATTATTAGCTTGCTGATCAGTGCTTTATAACTTAATCATGGAGATAGATTTTTATCCAGTTCCTTGTTTTCTCATTTTGTATTTTATGAATTTAAATTTCAGTGGATTTAAAGAACATTTAAAGAACTTTTTTTCCTTTCCAGTATCCTTTCCTTGGTCCTGTACCTACCAGAATGGCTGGATTCTTTAATTCTGGCTGTTCTCAGTGTCAGACCAGCTCTTTTTATCTTGTTAGTGATATTTATGAGCTGGACATCAATGGTTTAGGTAAGTGTATACTTGCATGAGTATGTTTACAGGGTCTTTGTCACTGAAAACTTAGTAAATGCAACAAAATATCTATAACCTCACATATTTGGAAAAATTTGGAGGAGATGGCAGGTGGAAGCTGTTCTGGAATCTCTGGTTTGCTATACAAGAAAGTCCATTAAACAGTTTACAAAATAATGTTTAGAAGCTTAAGTCCATTCCATATTTTTTTTTTAATCCGCCCTGCTGCGCCCCCCACACCCCACCCCCGTACCTCTAAATGCTGCTCACTCCCTTTCCCTCATTTTCCCACTTTTGTTTTAAGTCTGTTCCATATTTAAAATCATTTTTTAGGGCCAAAAGTTGAAGAAATCCTTGATTTGTTGAAATATTGTTGGATTTCAAGTTGAATTCTTTTCATTCATTCATTTAAAAATTTTTTTTAAATTGAAGTATAGTTGATTTACAATGTTATGTTAGTTTCTGTTGTACAGCAAAGTGATTCAGTTATACCTGTATATATATACATGTATTTTCATATTCTTTTCCATTCTGGTTTATGATAGGATACTGAATATAGTTCCCTGTGCTATGCAGTAGGACCTTGTTGTTTATCTGTTTTATGTCTAGTAGTTTGTATCTGCTAATCCCAAACTCCTAATTTATCCCTCCCTCATTCCCCTTTGATAACCATAAATTTGTTTTCTATGTCTATGAGTCTGTTTCTGTTTTATAAATAACTTCATTTGCATCAGATTAAATTCTTTACTTAAAAATGAAGGCCTAGGGACTTCCCTGGTGGTCCAGTGGGTAAGGCTTTGCGCTCCCAATGCAGGGGGCTGGGGTTTGATCCCTGGTTGGGGAACTAGATCCCGCATGCATGCCGCAACTAAGAGTTTGCATGCCACAACTAAGAAGTCTGCATGCTGCAACTAAAGATCCCACATGCCACAACAAAGACCTGGTGCGGCCAAAATAAATAAATAAATATTTAAAAAAAGAAAGAAGAAGGCCTAAACTTTGTAGAGAAAAGATTTTTTTCTAAGCTGTCAACCCAGCGAGAGTCACAAATACCATATAGGTCATGTTTTTTTGTTTGTGTTTTGTTTTTCACAAGTCATAAGGCTTGTGGATCCTGTCATTTAGAGTATTTGAAACACATAGATTTCTGGTCCTCCTAGAGAATCTTAGGTAGTGCTTTTGGCAGAACAGTAATTAATACCTTTCTTTGCCTTTTTTCTTTCCCTTTCTCTTTCCTTTTCTCCTTTTCCTGTCCTTCATCTTTCTCTCAGTAATGGAATTTAGAGGCCTGTGGGTCTTAAGAGAAAACAAAATGTCCTTGCCTATGCTTCCAGGTATTGGTCTTACTTCTTTATCTTACTAAAAATTGAATTGAAAGTTTTTCATTGTGTTTCAATTTTAGAGGATACAATGGAGATCCAGGAGCGAGTAGAGAATAGTCTTAAGTCTTTACTAGAACAGTTAAAAGGTAAGTGGTCTTACTGTGGATTCCCATATTGTATCTGATTGTCTGACAATAGCTCATTTTTTCATAGAAACTTGCAAGAGGTTTTGAAAAATAATAATACACACGTTTTTGGTATTTTTAAAGACTTTGTTTCTAACTTTAAAAAGTTTTGATTACAAAAGTAGTAGACACCTATTGTAAAACAGTACACAAGTGTGTATGGTCTTTTCCCCTTTCCCAGCCCCATTCCTGCAGAAGTAAGTAGGTACGTGCTGTTGGCACTTTGCAGTCTGTATTTCTGCATACCACCTAAACAGTCATATATGTGTGTATGGAAATACATAGTAGTGATTTTTTAAAAAAGTATATGAAAAGGTATAATACATGCTTTTCTGGCTTTAATTATTTGTTATCTTGGACATTTTACCATGTCAGTTATATACACACCCCATTTGTTTTAAGGGCTGCATAATATTCCACAGTATTGTATCAGTGTACCAGATTTATTTATATGCTCTGAGTACATAATATATTATGCATAACAATGATGACATAAATATCTTGGAACACAATTGTTTGGGTACTTATTTGAGTATTTCCTTGGGGTTAAATTCCTAGCAATGAAATTATTTGGTAAAGAATATACATATGCATTTTCTTTTAACTCTCTCAAATACTTAAAAAAATTATTATTATTTTATTTAACTATAGTTGATTTACAATACTGTGTTAGTTTCAGGTGTACAGCTTCAGATTCTTTTCCATTATAGATTATTGTGCATTTTAAATCTATAAGGGTCTTTCTTTTTAGGAGCCTAAAAAGTCTTTTATTTTGTTGCTCAAATGAAGACTGAGAATTAAAAGATGATCAGGATTATGAGAATAAAACCTGGTATTTGTTATGAAGGTGCATTTCTACCATGCACATTGGTCTTTTAGTCTATAATGGCACAAGTTCTTTTAAACCATCCACTTGAAGTCTTATTTTTATTGTGCCAATGGCCTATCTCTGGAAAGGTGTAGCTGGTGTTTATTTATTTTTTAAACAGTTATCCCATATTTTATTTTATTTATTTTTTAAAAATTATTTATTTATTTATTTGGTTGCGCTGGGTCTTAGTTGCGGCAGGCAGCCTCCTTAGTTGCAGCTCACAGGCTCCTTAGTTGCAGCACGTGGGCTTCCTTAGTTGTGGCATGTGAACTCTTAATTGCGGTGTGCATGTGGGATCTAGTTCCCTGACCATGGATTAACCCAGGCCACCTGCACTGGAAGTGTGGAGTCTTAACCACTGGACCACCAGGGAAGTCCCCGTAGCTGGTGTTTAGACCCTAGAATATATAATTTATAAGTCTGCCTTTTATGTTTTGAAGACAATAGAGCAGTAGTCGTGTGGCTTTTTAAAGAGCTTAAAATAGGGCTTCCCTGGTGGCACAGTGGTTGGGAGTCTGCCTGCCAATGCAGGGGACACGGGTTCAAGCCCTGGTCCAGGAAGATCCCACATGCTGCGGAGCAGCTAAGTCCATGAGCCACAACTGCTGAGCCTGCGCTCTAGGGCCCACGAGCCACAGCTACTGAGCCCACGTGCCACAACTACTGAAACCCACGCGCCTAGAGCCTGTGCTCCACTACAAGAGAAGCCACTGCAATGAGAAGCCTGCGCACCGCAAGGAAGAGTAGTCCCCGCTTGCCACAACTAGAGAAAGCCTGAGGGCAGCAACAAAGACCCAATGCAGCCAAAAACAATAAATAAATAAAATAAAATAAACTTAAATAAAATAAAGAGCTTAAAACAGATATTCTTTGGTGTTTGTTTCATTGGGGTGGGGGAGCTTTCTGGATTAAGTCTTTATATTTGCTTATTCTTTATTAGATTGTGCATTGTGTTCCTAAAAATAACATTGAAACAAAAGCTGACTAAAACTGTAAACTATTTTTCTGTTTTCAGATGTCTTTAGTAAATATAAAGGTGATCTCTTAGAAGTTAAAGATGGTAACTTGAAAACACATCCTACTCTTTTAGAAAATCTAGTCTTCTTGGTTGAGGTATGTTTTTGTTCTCTTTGTGAAAAACTCAGTTTTTCTTAATTGTATGCAGGATTAATTTTTCAAAAATGAACAGGTAATAGGCACCTTATGCCTGTAATTTAACCCTTCACTCCCACCTTTTGTTAATTGAAAAGCAATTTCAATTTTCTGAACTAATTCCTTCCAAGGGTATCAGGAGAATTTCATTCATAATGTTAGGGTAAAACTTCTTGAAATTTGCTTTACAAATCTCTAAAGATTCCCCAGATTCACTGCAAATCTAGCTCTCTTCTGTTCATTTTCCTTTTTGACTCAACTATTATGTAGTTTAAGTTAATTCTGCCAGCTTTCTAAATTTGTTGCTGCTGTTCACTAATTGCTGAGATTCTGCATTATGAAAGAGAATCCAGGAGCTGATGTAGCAAAACACTTTTTTTCTTTTAGCCAGAGAGAGAGAGAAGGATCACAAACACTCATAATCCATTATCTTTTTTCCGTTTATTTTGTCACATGTTTATTTACTTTCTTTTTCTACTAGTCTGTAAGCTTCCTGAAGGCAATATTCTCTGTTTTGGTGACATTTTAAGTGCCTAAGAGATACTTAATGAGTGAATGAGAAATAATTGCATGTATATGTGTACATGAATACACTGTAGCATAGGTGAAGACGTGTAAACACCTAACTTAATTCAAAGGAGAATATGTGCCGACCAACTGGGGAGATTTCTTCATACACAATTTAAGGTTTGCAGGTGAGGCAGTATCTTACCTGGATGGAGAGGTGGGTGGGGAGAGGCATATTTTACAGAACCTTTGGATTCCATACCTAGGAATTTGGACTTTTCACTTCAGTGAAAAGGATGTTAATGGATCCCCATCTCCTGCAAGGAAGTGAAAGAAAATTGGACTGAGTAGAGCAGGTGTCCTGAACCCCCGGGCCATGGACTGTTAACCAGCCTGTTAACAGACTGTTAGGAACTGGGCCGTACAGCAGGAGGTGAGCAGCAGGTGAGCGAAGCTTCGTCTGTGTTTACAACTGCTCCCCATCACTTGCATTACCGCCTGAGCTCTGCCTCCTGTCAGATCAGCAGCGGCATTAGATTCTCATAGGAGCGCGATCCCTACTGTGAACTGTGCATGCGAGGGATCTAGGTTGCGTGCTCCTCATGAGAATCTAAATGCCTGATGATCTGAAGTGGAGCTGAGGCAGTGATACTAGCACTGGGGAGTGGCTGCAAATACAGATTATCATGAGCAGAGAGGTTTGACTGCACAGAGACCATAATAAATCAGTTGCTTGCAGACTCATATCAAAACCCTATCAAGTGAACAAACAAGCTCAGGGCTCCCACTGATTCTGCATTATGTTGAGTTGTATAATTATTTCATTATATATTACAGTGTAATTATAATAGAAGTAAAGTGCACAATAAACGTAATGAGCCTGAATCATCGCCAAACCATCCCCCCGTCCATGGAAAAATTGTCTTCCACGAAACCAGTCCCTGGTGCCAAAAAGGTTGGGGACCACTGGAGTAGAGGATGAGTTTAGAGCTGGGAGAGCCAGAAGAAAGAATAAAGACAGTATTCTGAGTGGGAGATGAAGAAGACCTGGTTCAGTGTGGTGATTGTAGAAATTAGAGAGTGGAGAGTTACAAGAGAACTTGAAGAGATTTGCATAGAAGAGCTGTTTGCATAGAATTTGTATAGTTCATAATCTTTGTTCTTAATATCTTGAGTGTAATCCTTATTGATGAATTTGCAATTTTTCCTCTTTCAGACTATTTCTATTATCCTTTGGGTGTCCAGTTACTGTGAGAGTGTCCTGCGACCATACAAATTAAATTTACAGAAAAAGAAGAAGAAGAAAAAAGAAACCAGCATCATCATGGTAATAACAGAGAAAACACAAGTAACAATCTGGCTGCATGCTGCCTTTTCTTTTCACTGTTTTCCTGCATTTTGTAAGAGATCATAGGACCCAATATGCATTCATTTTTTCTCCCCAGCTTTTAAAAAAAAATATACACCTGCAGAAAAGCTGAAAGACTAGTATAATGACACCCAGACATCCTTACCTAGATTCACCACTTGTTAACAATTTGCCACATTGGCTTTATCTCTCTCTCTCTCTCTCTCTCATTCTCTACCTCCCCCACCCCCATTTGTTGAACCATTTGAAAGAAAAGTACAGACTGTGATACTTAACACACCAGGGTAGAACAGGGGCAGTCTCCTACAAAGCCATAATACTCAAGATATTTTCATACTCAAGATATTTAATATTGATACAATAATATTATAATGTCCATATTAACCTTTTCCCTGTTATCCCAGTTACATCCTGTATAGTCTTTTTCAAAATACTAGAATCCTACTAAGGATCTGACACAGCTTTTAGTTGTCATTTCTCTGTACCTTTCTTTCATCAAGCGTACTTCCTTAGCTTTTGTTTGTCTTAATTACTGAAAAGTCTAGCAAGGTTTTTGGTAGACTATCCCACAGTCTGGATTTGGCTAATTGTTTCCATAGATTTAGGTTAAACATAGATGCTGTGTCCTTTTTAGCAATTAAATTAGGAGGCACTAATGTTGTTATGTCCCATTATTGATAATTTCAGGTTTAATTATTTGATAAAGGAAGTATCTGCCGGATTTCTTTATTGTAAGAGTGTCTTTCCTCCCCGTGTAATTAATCTGTGAGATGATGCTTTGAGACTCTGAATATCCTGTTCCCCACCAGCCTTTCACCCACTGGTTTTAACATCCATTGTTAGTCTAACTTGCATGAATCATTTATTTCTTTGGTGGTTCCACAATGGTGATTTAAAAAAATTCTACCAATCATTTATCATTTATTAACTGGCATTCTGTAAAAATAGAGCTGTATATTTTTAATATCACTATTTTAGTATCACTGTGGACTCATTCTTTTTTAAATTTACCTTGTAAACCATTATCATCATTTTCTTTTGGATGCACAGATTTGGCTAATGGGAGCCACTTTAAGCTGGTTCCTGTCCTTGAACATCATTGGTCTTTGAGCCCTTACTGTTTGAAACAACAAAAATGCTCCAAGCACTTTGTACTCACCCACTGAACTGAAATCATTTTTTTCAATGAGCCCTGGTTCCTTTATGGGGAATGGTATTCAAAATACCAAGATCTAGTTGTTAGGTATACTAATTGCTATTAGAGTTTTACTGTTTCTAGTTAATGGCCATGAAGAGAGACAGGAAATTTATTTACACACACATACACACACACACACACACACACACACACACACACACACAGAGTTTTAAATAATTAATTCTTACTGATACCTCCAGTTTTAGTCCAATATCAGTGTTCTTCCTTCCATTCCTTCCCTCATTCCATATTTGTAGTTTTCTTTTCAGAGTAAGAACCATGGTTCCCAACAGCATCAATATATTTATTCATTTGCTGTTTTACAATAAATACTAAATAGTTTTGGAATTAGTACATTGGTTCCACTACCAGTTCCAATAACAAACCCACTAAATAAAGTTCAAATTTTTGCATTTCTTTTTTGTCCTTAGAATATGTTCCAGTGGATGTAGACAGTTGAGGTACTCTGTAAAAGCACTGGAATTAAAAACTCAGATTATATTAGTGTGATGTAAATAAGATTCATCTATTTCTGTTTGTATTCAATTTTGGAGTTTCCTCCCATCTTAATTGATTTAATTTTTGCATGTGTAAAACATTAACATAATTTATATCCTTTTCATAAGGAAAGATGTTTAGGATTTATTCTCTAATGGCATGCTGTTTTGTTAATGTTCGAATTTATCTTATTATTAATGGAAGATTTTTGTTCACTGTAGGAATATAGTAACATTGTCGTTTGAAAACGTTGATGGATTTATTAGTAATATTAACTTCCTGCACAATTCAGTAACAATTTTAGATTTGACACTTGTCCTGGGTGTTGCCATTCATTCATTTCTCTCCTTCACTTTGTTCAAGATAATTTAACAGACCATGAGTGCAGTTTGAAAGAATTGATCAGAGTTGTGTGATTACTTTCTTTTCTAATGAAAACCTACACTCCTAGTACTTGTCAGATAGCTTTTGGTATTTGAATTTTGTGAGAGTTTTTGTAGTTATTGCTTTTCTAATTTCCAAAAATGAGAATAGCCGCCTATTTTTCTGATTGTCAGTGTAACCTAAATATATGAATAAAGTGAAGATCACCCGTTTTCCCAGCAGAGATAGCCACTGCATACAAACCAGAATCATGCTCTATAGAAAGTTCTGCAACTTTGCTATTTGTTTTTGTTTTCACTTAGGAGGGTATCTTAGACATCTCTTCATTTCAGCAAATATAGATGTATCTCATTACTTTTAATGGTTATGTACTATCCTGTTATATTAATATATCATAACTTATTCTCATTGTTGAATGTTTAGTTCTGATTTTCTTTTAATATTATAAATAGTGCTGCTATTAAAATATGGACAGGGCTTCCCTGGTGGCGCAGTGGTTGAGAGTCCGCCTGCCGATGCAGGGGGGGCGGGTTTGTGCCCCAGTCTGGGGGGATCCCACGTGCCGCGGAGCGGCTGGGCCCGTGAGCCATGGCTGCTGAGCCTGCGCGTCCAGAGCCTGTGCTCTGCAGCGGGAGAGGCCACAGCGGTGAGAGGCCCGCGTACTGCAAAAAAAAAAAAAAAAAAAAAAAAGGACAAACACAAGATGAATTTATAATATGATTTCCTTAGGCTATCTCTTAGATCTGACATTACTATGTATACAGGTTTCCCCTGCTATCCAGAAGTATAGCATTCCTTTGAAACCTTTCGTAAGCCCAGGTGGCATAAAGGGAAGAAGCAATTACCTTAGGACGATGGATGCACAAAGTAAATTGAGATAAAGCACAGATGCTTGCAGACATAGTTCACCGCTGTGGCGGCTTGATGTTGAGTGGCACTTCCGGTGCCACTCTTGCTGCTAACAGTGTGCGCTGCTTCTGTAACAGCTTGCTGCAAACGCTTTTTGCCGCCTTTTTCCTGTGAAAGCGAAAATCCTCTTTGGATTTCTTTTGGTTAGCCAAAACAGGTACTAATGTAGGTCTTTCGTGAAAGCTAAGTGGCGTGAAGCGAACTTTCAAAAAGCTGGAGATACCTATTTTTACATTCCCCAGTGGTGTGGTGTGTCTGTATCCTTACCCATTTGATAGGCAAACGTTGGTACTCTCCTTTTTCCAATTTGCATTAAAAAAATTCTATTGATGTTGCACCTTCAAAGAAGACTTCTTGAGTGAAAAGCTGGCCTTAACTAGTTGATTGGCTAGGTTTCTTGTGTTTATCTGTTTTTTAAATTGTATCACTGCTGGGATTTCTTTGATATATTTTCTGTTTCTGTCTTTGCCCAAGTTTCCTATTGTGGTGGTAGTATTTTTTCCATTGATATGTTTTGAGCTATTAGACTCTTAACATAGTAGTGTTAACACAATCCTTTTTCATATATGATGCAGTTTTTTTCAGTTTGACATGTCTTTTAACTTGAGTGATTTTTTTGTCAATATAGTAGTTTTTAAAAAATAAGATTTTTTGTCATGCCTAACTCCTTTGAATTAATGCTTAGATCATGGGTTTTATGGTTTTATCCTTTTTCTAATGGGATTTGGACTCCAAATTTGCTGCTAATCACCACTTTATGTTTATCCCACAAATTTGGTACTTCATATCTTCATCTGACATAGCAAACATTTTTTTCTAATACTTCTTGTGATTTATTCTTTGACCATTGTTTTGTTTAGGTGCTATTCAATAATTTCCAAATGTATGGTGATTAAAAAATTTTTTTTAGTTCTTGTATAATTTTTAAAGGTTACTTTCCTTTTACAGATATTACAAAATATTGGCTATATGCCCCATGTTGTACAATACGTCATTGAACCTATCTTAACCCAGTAGTTTGTACCTCCCACTCCCCCACCCACCTATTGCCCCTCCCCCAAGATTTTTTTTTAACTCTTCTTAGGTTAGTATTATGTTTAGAAAGACCTTTTCAATTTATGATCGCAAAAGCCACTACCTAAATCCTCTTCTGGTGCGTCGATGGATTTTTTAAAAAAATTTAAGTATTTAAATCTGTCTGGAATTTATTTTGTTATTTATTATTTTATTTATTTTATATTTCACAATATGTCTAGCTAGCTATTCAGTACCATTCATCCACTTGAAAACCACTGTTTTGAAAGGTCACCATTTAAATTCCTTTATATTCTTTGCTCTATCTTGGGATTTGTGTTCTTTCAGTCTTTGTCAGTTTACTTATATGCCAGTCCCATTGGGATTTGATGTAACTTTATAATATACTCTAATATCTATTAGGGCAAGTTCCCCATAACGGCTCTTCTTCAGAATTTTCTTGATTGTTGTCACCCATCATTTTTTCCATTAGAGTTTAGAATTTCTGTTTCTGTTATTAACATTAGAGGAAATCTCAAAGACATAAAGAGAAGAAATGAAGACTTGGTTCTTCTCATCTCCTTTAGTGTTCTAGGAGATTCCCAACCTGAAGTTGAATAATGACCAACTAAGATTTTTTATTTGTTTTTTCACCTCTACTTCCCCAGAGTGAAATAAAACCACACTGAAAAAAAGTCATCATTACTGAGTTAGCATTTGGTGGCTATTAAATTTACCTTGGTTTGAGAGACTCTCTTAATATCCAAAACTATATCTATCCTTGTTACTATTTTTTTTTGCGGGGACTACACCACACACCATGTGGGATCTTATTTCCCCAACCAGGGATTGAACCCCCGCGCCCTCTGCTGTGGAAGTGCAGAGTCTTAACCACTGGATCTCCAGGGAAGTTCCATCCTGTTACTATTAATAGAATTAAGTAATGCTATAGCATGAAATTAGTATATCTTATGTGATATAGCATGGGAGAAATATGTTTGATAATCTTTCAACTTTTTAAAAATCTTTTTTTCCAGCCACCTGTCTTTACCAGTTTCCAAGACTATGTTACTGGGCTTCAGACTTTAATTTCGAATGTTGTGGATCATATTAAAGGACTTGAAACACATCTAATTGCACTTAAACTTGAAGAACTTATTTTAGAAGACACTTCCCTCTCACTGGTAAGAGACTGTATGGTAAGAGACTATAGTTGATCAGCAATAAGTTATATATAGATATTCAAGTGTTCTTATTGTTATCACAGGGACAAGTTAATTTTTAATTCATTATTCTCTCCTTATGGGACTTGTGATTAGAAGGTGCCTGGCACTGGTTTTTTGCTGTGGTCTTGGTGGTGGTGGTGTCTCCTCCCCCTTCATCCCCCCTCCCGCTTTCCACCTTTGAATACATTTTTGGGGGTGTTCTTTTACTATGAAAACAACTGATGAATTGTTGAAGAGTAGAATTAGTATTGTCCCTGTTTTGAGCACCATAGGAAACCAGCCATACTTTTGAGATTCAGGGACAATCTCCTTGACTGAGAACTTACCTGCTGTTGGATTGGCTGGTTTCTTTGCCAGCCCAGCAATTATCACATGGAAAAGGAAAGATGCTGGACATCAGAACTAATTATGTCAGTAATAATGAGGCCAGAGCAAGCCAGCCAAAAAGGAATGGAAACAAGTATGGAATCAAAGGTACTAGTCAGTTTTCTCCTGATCATTATTTTAGGCTGGTTTCTTAAAATTCTCCTAGCAAAATCCCTGATAAAGTCTCACTTTAAAAAATGTGGATTCTTGGGCTTCCCTGGTGGCGCAGTGGTTGAGGGTCCGCCTGCCGATGCAGGGGACGCGGGTTCATGCCCCGGTCTGGGAGGATCCCACATGCTGCGGAGTGACTAGGCCCGTGAGCCATGGCCGCCGAGCCTGCGCGTCTGGAGCCTGTGCTCCGCAGCGGGAGAGGCTACAACAGTGAGAGGCCCGCGTACCAAAAAAAAAAAAAAAAAAAATGTGGATTCTTTTAAAAAAGTTAATTAAATAAAACAAACAAATGGTGTCAGATGAGTTAACATGCACCAGCTTGGAGTAGGTTTAGGATTTTGATAGGAGCCAGAAGAGCAATGGTGGAGCCACCTGATTCTGGCTAGTTGTTCCAGTGATGAAGCTCCGATCATGAGGAAATGCTTTCCTTGAGTAGTTTGTCTGACCTAAGCCTCTGCTGATGAGGAAGCTCATCCAGCAATATGAGGGCAGGCATCATCCTAGCCTAAGACCTCCACCCAGGCCCTTCTAGGGAAGGGAGTGAATGGAATCTTGCTTGGCACACCAGCTTTAAAAAGTTGTAAGTCCCTCTTTTGTAAAATGTCAACATGTTAGAGCTTTGAAAAAAGGGCTTACTGTGGGAAAGGGCTCAGAGCATTTAACATTTCCAAAGACTGATTAAAGAAAGCAGACAAGTGTTGGCTAGAAGTTTGGTTTTAGCCAGTTAAGCTATATATTCAACTGCTTTCTTATGTACACTAGAATGAATATAGACTTCGATGGTAATTAGAGGTACTGATTGATGGATTATTAATTCTTTAGTATTTTTGTCTTCCTTTTTTTAAGCCTTACATTGTTTTAAAAAGTAAAATATGTACATGGTAAAAAAAAAAATTCAGAGTAAAGAAAGAATATCCAGTGAATTGCCTCCTTTCCATTCGAACCCATTCCCTAGTTCCCTTTTTAGAGGGAACTGCTGTTAGCAATGATTTCTTGTGTAATCTTCCTGAGTTAGAGAACCCACTTACAAGTACGTTATGACCGTGCCCCTCCCCCCCCACATCTTGCCTTTAAACACAAATGATAGCGTATTATACATATTGTTTAGTCTCTTGTTTTTGTGTTTAGTCTTTAGGAGATCGTTACATATAAGTAACTTATCTACCTTGTTCCTTTTAACTGCTCTGTAGTGTTTCACTGTTTCTTTACAGACAAAAATGTATGCTTGTTACAAGAGAATTAGAAAATAGAGAGTAGCACCTCCCAGTCCCACCATCCAGAACCACCTCCACCTCTCCCTCTTCTCTATCCCCTTTAAACACATTTGTGTCTGCCATTAGCCTTTATGACTTCCAGGTACTTGGTTACCCAGTAAAGGCCTAGTAATTAAATCCTTGTGAAACAGGTACATCCCAGGCAGGAATCTGCCTTCCGCCCCCACGTGCATGCCAAAAGGTCTTTGCTAGTCCTTTTGGACCCCTTTTACCTATAAAGAGATCTGGTAATTCATAGTAGTAGATTTGGAGCTGTTTAACTTTTGACTTTTTAGATTAAATGCAAACTCATTCTGTGCTCTAAACTCCCATCCCCTTTTGTGAATAGTATAGAAAAGTAAGAACTCGAAATTATAGTACCTATTTTTTAAAATCTTAAGGATTGCACACTTGGACAGATGTCACATTGCTTCATGTGGTTGGGCTTTGCCGGACATCTTTGAGATTTTCAATAAGTAGATATAAATTTATTGAGCTCACTATTGTTGGGCTTAAAGCTTGTAGAAATATAATGATCAAAGACCTACTGTAGAGAGTCTGGCTGTAGAGCGATGCATACGAATTACTAAATTGGAGATACGATATAGGCATAGAAATCTGAGTGAGTCAAAAAGAGTCTCACTGGAAAGGGGACATTTGAGGATTAATAAATTTTCACCAGGCAGACAGGAATGGAGGAAAGGAATCCCAAGCAGGATGAGGCACAGACAACAGCACAGAGGCAGGAAAGTGAATTGTGTGGTGCACCATGAGTCATTTGGCAGAGCCAGAGCCCATGGTGATTTCGGACGCAGGCAGTAGTAAGCGGCAGCTTGCATCAAGCAGCAGTGAGCAGTAGTAGGAAGCAAGATCTTAGTTCCCAGACTGGAAGTCCTAACCACTGGACCACAGGGGCCAGCAGCTAGGGCCTGGGTCCCTAGTCCTTACATGCCTTGGCAAGAAAGAATTCAGGCAAGGAGGCAGAAGGTAAAGAAAAGTAAGTTTATTGGAAAAGCAAAGTACATGCGGAAAGATGCACGGGCGAACTCAGAGAGTAGCGCCTTTGGGAAGTTTAAATCCTTTATAAGGTGTCAGTCTTCCGGGTCTTTGTCTTCTTTTTGGCCAGTTGTATTGTTTTGACCCCAGGGCTAATTTGTTTCTGGACCCTCCCCTGGGTGCGCACGCACCTCTAAGTTAAGATGGATCCCACTGCAAAGGCCTCTGGGAGGAGATGGCAGGACTTACTATGGTCTGGCATCTCCTGCCTTTTTGACGCTGTGTAGGCCTTTGCACATGCGTAGTGTTTCCCTTGCCCCAAGGATGGGAGGTGTGTGACCTCTGGATCATTTAATAGGGTTTAGTCCCAGTCTGTCCCTGCCATATAAAAATGCCCAGTGTCCGGTTATTTACCCTGTTGATGGTTTTTTTTTTTTTTTTTGCGGTACGCGGGCCTCTCACTGCTGTAGCCCCTCCCGTTGCGGAGCATAGGCTCCGGACGCGCAGGCTCAGCGGCCATGGCTCACGGGCCCACCCGCTCCACGGCATGTGGGATCTTCCCGGACCGAGGCACGAACCCGTATCCCCTGCATCCGCAGGCGGACTCTCAACCACTGCGCCACCGGGGAAGTCCCTGTTGCTGGTTTTTATATTGAGATGCACATCTCGAAATATAGACAGGAGTCCAGTCATAAACATGTAGTCCTGGAGCCCGTTTGTCTCTTGCTTCAGGAAATGTAAATAGGCACTGGTAATGAATGTCCAGCCTGGAGCTCATCTTCTCCTCATCCTATGAGGTGTGAACAGGAGGCCAGTTGTAAATGCCTAGCCTGGAGCCCATCTATCTCCTGCCTCAGTGGTATGTGGGAAGGACTGTTGGATACAAAGGTGACAGGCATAGTAGCCCTGCTGTTGTCAAGAGGATTGAGTGGTTGTTCTTGTTGAAAGATCTATCTGCCTCCTGAAATGAGGAATAAGATTTCTCATTTTTTCTAGAGGTTATCCTTAACTCTGGGCTACTTGCTAGATTTTCCAAGCCCTGGTTCTGTCTTCATCTTTTGACCTTGGGAAAGTCGCTTAACCTCTTTGGGCCTCAGTTTCTTTATTTGGAAAATGGAAATCATAATAATGTTAATGCAAGCTCGCATGCCCAGTGCACAGTGAGCCCAAACAAACTGAAACATTGGAGTTTGGAGCAGAGAAAGGTTTATTGCAAGACCATGCAAGGAGACGGGTGGCTCATGCCCTAAAAGCCCAGAACTCCCTGAAGGGTTTCAGCAAAGCATTTTTAAAAGCCAGGTGAAGGAGGAGGGTCACAGGGTGTGTGATCAGATCGTGCACAGTTCTCTGATTGGCTGATGATGGGGGAACAGGGTGGTGTCACAGGGGTTAACGTTATCAGTCCTTAGGCTCCAGGAGGCCTGGGGCTTATGTGCTCATGGTCATCAAGTAGTTAACATCTTCCATTTGGTGGGGGGATTGATTTCACATCTGCAAAACAGCTCAGGAAATTTGCATCAAATACTATTATCTAGGTACTTCAGAGAAGAGCTAAAGCAGAGGATATGGGGGAAGGCCTGTCCCAGGAAGGCCCCATAGTGTCCTGCTCAGATAAAATAATACCTACTTCATAGGGTTATAGTGAAGATTAAACAAAACAATAATGGCTGTATATTGCCTTATTTTGTTAAAGTCATGATACATGTAACATACTGAGCAGCACGGGCCACCAAATATTGGATCCATGTAGTGCTCAGTACTTTCTTTTGGGTTAAAAAAAAAAAAGAAAAAAAAACAACTTCAGTTCCATTTACATTAGGTTCACTTTTTTCTTTCCTTCCTTTCTTTCTAAACTTGAAACACTATGAACAAGGCCTCTGGAGTACTACCTCTAGTCCTGGTCCCCTTTCCTCTTCCCTAGCGGTATCCACTGAAACTGGTTGTATGCCAAGACACCCCTCCCCTCCTTTTTAAAATATTTATTTATTTTGGTTGCACCAGGTCTTTGTTGCAGCATGTGGGATCTTTTAGTTGCAGCATGTGGGCTCATAGTTGTGGCATTCGAACTCTTAGTTGTGGCATGCATGTGGGATCTAGTTCCCAACTAGGGATCGAACCTGGGCCACCTGCATTGGGAGCGTGGAGTCTTATCCACTGGACCACCAGGGAAGTGTCCTCCTCCCCACCCTTTTTTAAAAATCCATCTGGTCTTAATGTAACTTTATAATGTACTCTAACATCTGTTAGGTTTTTTTAAAGTAAATTATATACACTTTATTTTATTCAGAAGCATAAACTCAACCAATGAGTTTTTCACTCAACCAATATTCAAGAGTTCTGTTCAGGCTGCTGCATCTAGATCAATCTTGTTCTTTTAAACAACTGTATAGTGTTCAAAATATGAATGTACCACATCCATTGGACATATTTTAGGTTGTTTCTGTACATTTGCTTTTACATATAGTACTGAATGAAATGTATTTGTGTACATACCTTTTTATGCACTTGTTGGGTCATAAAATGTGCTTATCTGGTTTCTTTTGGGCTTTAAAGTACTGCCAACTTCATGTAAAGCTAACCAGTTTTCAGCCAACCTTCTTTCTGTGTTTGAACACTCCATCCCCTTTATTTTTTGTGCTTTCTACCACAGGTCAAACGTGCAGCAAATATTTAACTCACATATTTGAGCAGCCTTAGGAAAACTGGTCTTTTTTAGTTATTTGGCCTCTGGAACACGATCGTGGACTTTGTCAATATGGAGGGAGGCCTGTCAATATTGTAACTAGAAAAGATGATACTGGTAAATTTGATGCCCTTAAAAAGTGGCTGTGATAAGTCTAAATGAATAATAAATTTCTACTTCTTTTCCGATGAAACTAATAATAAGAAATCTCAATTTTTCCACTTTGTACAGCTCATAACAAAATAGTAGTGATTTTATGGCTAAAGTACTTAGTAATAATTTTCTAATTTTTTTTCTTTTTTTAAAAAAGTATTTTTTATTTATTTATTTATTTATTTATTTATTTATTTATTTATTTATGGCTGTGTTGGGTCTTCATTTCTGTGCGAGGGCTTTCTCTAGAAGCGGCAAGCGGGAGCCACTCTTCATCGCGGTGCGCGGCCTCTCTTGTTGCAGAGCACAGGCTCCAGACGCGCAGGCTCAGTAGCTGTGGCTCACGGGCCCAGTTGCTCCGCGGCATGTGGGATCTTCCCAGACCAGGGCTCGAACCCGTGTCCCCTTCATTGGCAGGCAGATTCTCAGCCACTGCGCCACCAGGGAAGCCCCTAACTTTTTCTCTTGATGAAAACTAGAAATCAGAAATCTCGCTTTTCCGACTTGATATAATTTATAACAAAGGTTACTTGAAAGATTGGTAATGCTAAAGCAACAGGGGTCTCAGTGAAAAGTCACATGGAAAAATATACATCTGTGATGAGTTTAGCCATCTTTGCATTTAATGAAATTGAAAATGACCCAATCTATTCTCATGGAGCTTGCAGTGAGACCAGAGGTAGTGGTAATTTTAATTTATACCTGAGGATCTCTAATCTGGGGGAATGCTTTCTGAGCAAGACCACTAATTCTTGTTTCCTTTGTAGGAAGAGAGAAAATTTTCAAAGACTGTACAAGGGAAGGTGCAGAGCAGTTACCTGCACTCACTTCTGGAAATTGGGGAGCTGCTGAAAAAAAGACTTGAGACTACAAAGAAACTAAAAATTTAAGTTAGTGTGAACCACAAGCACTGATGACTCTACAACAGAAAATGACATCATCTTCCCAGGCAAAAGCTACATCTGATTGACCATCATTTTAATCCAGAACTTCCTCATAAAATGCATGAAGGACTTTGATCGTGAATTAATTTTTTAGGTATTAAATGTGTACAACTGATTAAATTATTGTATATAAACCAGAAGCGGGACCCTCATCTGGGTTTGACCACTTTTTATACATGTTCATATGCATATGGCAGCCACAAGAGAACCCCACTCTTCTTCCCTTCTATCACCAGAAACATCTGGTGGGGTGGGGGGAAAGCAGCAATAGAAATTAAGCATAAAGCATTGACCTCAGAGCAGCTGAATGGCCCTACCATTATAGCAGTGCATGTTTTGGTCTGGTCCTTGAGCCTTAGGAAGCAGAAAGCAGAAGAAGAGGGGGACCATGATTGGGAGCAGGCCCTCTTTCCACATTAGCAGTTTAGCTTTGAGGCTTCCTCAAATGCTTGGCTCCCACAGAACCCAAGGCAGGTACCCAAAGGACCTCAGATGAAATTTGGCATAAGCACCTGCCACTGAAGGACATCACTCCGATGCCCACAGGCTGTCGGTTTTCAGCTTAATAATCCCAATGGCCAAGACATCCCCATCCTAGCTCCTGTGAGAGTTAAATCAGAAGTAGCCTTCTGTTACCTTACAGCTGTTTGGAGGGGAAAGTAGTGCAGACCACTTATAAGCCTGCTGAGGACTAGCTTGCTGTCTTTTGTCTACTTGGGAAAGATGGGAATCACTGTTTTAAAGAAGAGAGGTGTACATAATTTATGCAGGCAAGTCTAATACCAGTGTCATTGGTTTTGTGAGCTATATATATATGTATATGCTTTTACATATATACGTATATTTTCAACCGTATATACATGTATATGTAAATGTATATACATGTATATATGCTTGAAAGTAAAGATTTAATACTCTAGTGTTTTTTAAGTGGGAGGTTTGAGAAGGAAGAAAGGAAGGAATGTATATTAATATGGATTTAACCTAGGTTTTAAGATTTAGGCTGGCAAAAGAAATGTTATCAATTGGGCTTGAGGTTCAGTTTACCTTTTTCAAACTTGAGAATTATTACCAGGATGGTGTTTACGTTGTTCATCTGGAGCTCCCCAAGACTATGGCTTCAGAGGTTGGTTTGACAGAAAAGATAAACATTGCTCTTGAAAATGTTACACATTTTATACAACTGCTTTGGTAACTTTTTTGTGTTTGAATCTGTGCCTCTGTTTTTGGTCTTTGTTACCCAAATACCGTTATAAAGTTAATAATTCTGAAAAGCAAAGAAATGAATTTGATGAGATTCAAATATCTGATGGAGGATTGGTCTTGAAGACCTTCAAGGTCCTTTCCAACTCACTTCTCCAGTGAAATGTGATACTCTTTTCTTTTAAAAGCAACCAAAAAAGAGCTTGGAAAATCTCTGTATGCAAAGCAATTGCATTTTGTCCCTATCATTTTGACTTTCTTAGATTCACAATTTGGTAGGGTGATTAATAACTGTCTCAACTTGTAGGGAAACTTTTTTGAAAATTACTGAATTACATGGTCAAAATAAGACTTGTTGGAAATCCTAGTCTATCCAGTAATTAAAAAAAACCAGTTTTGATGTTAATTGGTAGCCACAACTGTCATACCCCATCCCAAAAGAAAAGAACTGCCTTGAACAAGATGAATTAAAAATTCTGATTGATTCTGAATTTAACTTAATAACATAATTTCATAAAACTATGGTCTATTTAGATGGAACTTTGTGTATGGGGTTGGGGGTATGTGTATGGCATGTGTTCTTGAAATGATGTTTCTTTGAATATCCAAAAATACTATACGTAGAAACAGAAATGTTCTTTGAAACAAGTCTATTAACTGACAGTGATCGTTCTAGCATATGTGTGCTCAGTGGGCTGGCCTTGGTCCTCAGGGACAGTGTGTGACTCCAGTGGTCTACCTACCTAGTCTCTTGTCTAGGGGCATCTGGGTCCTCTACTGGTTTTAGTGACAGATAATGTTATGTTGGGGTTATGCTTCCTTTGTTACATGTTGATTTCCCTACTAAATGTAGCATTTCAATTACATCCAACCTCTTACATTTTGAGATAATTGTAAAAAGAATGAAATTATGCAGAAATGGCCAATATCTTTTATTGATCTGTTCTTTTGGAAATTGTCATGCACTATAAATTGTGTACAGTTAAAAAAATATATATATATACACATATATTCTTACATGAGTAAAAAGCACCCTCTCCAGCAATTGTATGTAATTGGTATTTGAAGAGAATTCCCAAATAACTCATTGCTGCTGCTGCTGTTTTTAGTTTGTGTGGGTTTTTTGTTTTATTTTGTTTTTGTGTGGAAAACTGATATTTAAAAAAAAGAAAAGGAAAGGAGAAAAAACACGACTACTGTTTACAGACTGAAAAATTACTGCTTTTTATACTACTGAGATCCTGAGACTCTCCAAAGCAAACATTTGGTTTAAATCATTTATCTGATGTGGATAAAAGGTAGAGAACTTTTTAGTGTTCTCCACATAATGGAAAATGTACAAATGCCTAGCTGTGTTGCCCATCAATTTTGTATATTTTCATAATTTTAATTGTTTAAAATTGCATTATATTTTGCAATCACTATGTTCAATCTGGATTTGTCTTTCATTCTAACTTTTAATATAAAAAGGGGTTTCAATGTATCTACAGCCTTGTTATTGAAACTCTTCCTGCTTTTTTGCTGTGATTTATTAATATGGGAAGTATATATTCTTCCTTCAGAATTAAGTGAAGCATAGCAAATCTATTTAAAATGGATGGGTTAATTTATTTAAACACTTTCATCTTAAGTTGGCATTTCTGCCTGGTTCATTTTTGTTCAGATTCCTAGAAGCCACAACCTTTTAAATGGTATAAGTCATCTCAGTTTTGTATTGTTATATTCCTCAGCAAGATGGTAATATTTGTGAATTTAAAATTATTCCAAGGCCACTAGTTATTTTAAGTACCTTGCGTGCTCGCATTCATTAATTCAACATTTATGTGTTGAGCACTTATTTACTACGTGCCAGATTCCGTGTTAGGCTCTGCTGATATAATGGTAAATGAACTCTATATCCTAGTTAGTGGCTGAAGTGGGGGAAGAGACAATAAAAATAAATATTAGTTTGTAATTAAGTCCTGATTAATAAAATATGTCAGGGTATGTGATACGTGGGGTCACAAGAGGACCTCTTGAGTGGTGCCATCTGACCTGAATGATGAAGAGTCAGCCATTGAAAAGCGAATACAAGTCAAAGGCCCCAAGGCAGGAAACTGCTGAGCATGTTCCAGTGACTGTAAAAAAAAAGGCTCAAGTGCCTGGGACTTAATGAAAGGAGTGGAAAAGGGGTACAGATTGAGATAGAAGGTGGAGTGGGGATTAGAGCAATCAGGATTTTGTAGCCAGGGGAAGAAATGAGATTTCTAAATTTAGTGGGAAGTTACTGGAGGATTTCAGGCAGGCGGATGACATGATTTATCCAAGGGTATATGGACCCACAGGCTGAGATCATTTATTCAGACACACACACAGCAGAAAGAGGAGCTGTTTGTTTTTCCTCCTAGTTTCCTTTCTGTCCTGTGATACTAAATGCCCTTATCTGAGCCCTGAAAAAGTTCTTGCCTGCTTCTTCAGTTATGAATTAACTCCACCCCAACATTCTCTTTTTCCTTTAACAAAAAGTGGGCACTTGGATATACCTCACTGCCGTTTTTGACTTTCCCCAAAAGGTGGGCTCAGTTTATACTTTTTCATGTTCCGTTTTTGAGATGCTGTCACTGCCTCAATGCAGACATGTGTTTCATAGTAACAAGTGGAGGCTAAGCAACCACGAGCCAAATGCTTATAAAAATTATTTGTGGGGTGCCTATAGTAGTTTATGCTTGGGGAACAGTTTTGCAACCTCCGCTTCCATATATCTTAGTAAAAGTGGGTCCCAGGTAATGTACTATTTTCTGTATGAGAAAAGCAGTTATTGGTAGTCTGTTACCCTGGTAGAGCAGAGTCCACACCACCTTAGATTAAAAAATAAATTCAAAGGAGAAAGCAGGTCATAGGCCAAAGTATAATTTGTAAAAGAAAACTGAATGGCTTCAGGTCCTTTTAACCAAAACACAGAAACTTTAATTGAATCAGAATTGTATCTATCAAAAACCTGGGCAGTACACTCTTCTTTATAGCACCAGTTCCTTCTGAGGGGGAATTTCACAAGCCATCTGAGTAAATGTACCAGCTGTACCAGACTGGTTACAGCGATGTTCCAAGCATAGTCACACCAGCATCAATATCTGGGCATACTCAGATTTCTGGTTTAGTGCCACTTTTCCTACCACTCCCTTATATCCCAGTAGGGTCTCACAGCCAGCAGGTAGCTTACCCCTCCCCACCCCACCAAACCCTTGAAAACCCTGGAGTGCCTTTTCATAGCTCCTGCTTCTCGGCCCCCTTCTTCTGGAAGGCAGTCAAAATGTTTAGGCTCTTCTGGAGCTCTTCCTTCTTCCCATCGCTCATCTTGTTCTTCTCAATCAGCTTGGTGATCCGGGTCATCTCTGAGGCTGGGAAGTCCTCACCTTGGTCTAAGATCTTTCCCATGATCTTAAGGTATTGCTCAGCCCACTTCTTCTCAGCCTCCTTCACACTTGCAAGGTTGTCCTGCCCCTGCTTCAAGAGGGCCTGGCGGGCCTCCATACCAGAGGCCCTGATGAACTCTCCAGCAAGGGTGTCATACGCAGGCAGGCAACCAGGCATACCTAGGTAAACCCCATGTCCCTTTAGCCAGCGCTGGATGGCTCCAACCTTAACTGCCCCACTATATAGGACTGGGTTCTCAAAGTCCCCATCCCGGAAGAGGTAGAAGACTGGGTAGTTCTCCTTGTCCAGCTTGTATTTCTCACTCAGCTCCATATTCAGCTTGTCACCATAATCTGTGAGTAGAAACCAGAAATGAGGAATAAAACATGAGGAAGGTATGGCAGGAGGTTGCTGTGAAGCCTATCTGAGCTGAGGGGAAGAAGAATCTCGGCTGTTTGAATTCCTCCTCTGCTACTTCCTAGCCATGTGGCATTAGTCAAATCCTTTAATCTCTCTGAACTTCATTTTCCTCATCTGAAAAAGGGGAATTCTGCATATTTATTATATGCCCACTATGTGCCAGGGACTGTTCTAAGTGCTGGGGACTTAGTTGTGATTTAGAGTGATTAAGAGTATCAAGCTCTCTGACCTCAAAGAGCTCATACTCTTCAAAAAGTGAGAAGAGAGATAATAAAATGAACCAAAGTGATTAGTGCTATGACGAAAATAAAATGGTGATATGACACAGTGACTGGGTGAGAAGGCCCACTTTGGTCGGTCATGGAAGGCCTCCCTGTGAAGATGACATGAACTGAGGGACCTGAATATGTAGGAGACATATCAGACACATCAACAGCAGACATGTCAATTTGTGGGAAAAGGGTCTCAGGCAGAAAGGTCTGCAAGTGCAAAAGCTCTGAGGCAGGAATGAGCTGGGTATATTTAAGGATTACAAAGTGTAGTCTGGCTGGAGCTTAGTGAATATGTGGTAGGTAACGAACTCAGTCCCTACCACTTGAGGGCTGTTGGGAGGACCCAATGAGGGGATATGTGCACTTAACCCGGCAGAGTTAAGTGTTTAATATGTGGTAGCTGTTAGTATTTGCTATGTCTTTCCCAAAAGGCAGCAGCAGCCCCAAGGGCTACAACTGGTTTCTTACACCTGGCCAGGAAGAAATGGCCAAGACCACCTATTACTGGGTAGTAGTATAGGAAGTGTGGGGTTCCAATCCTAGTTCTGGCGCTTTATAATCTTGAGCAAGTTACTCTAAGCATCTGTTTCTTCATTTGGGGAGTCATAAAACTTCCTTCACAGAGCTGCCACAGGATGACATACATGTAAAACACTTAGCACAGTGGCCTGGCACATAATAAACATTTCAGAAATGTCAGCTATTGTTAATATTATTAAAGCCCCAAAGGAGTGGACTCACAGTTGAGTTAGACTTGATCAACTGCCCTGAAGAAGTGTGACAGCTACCTCTATCCAAGACCAGACTCAAGAGCTCACTAGGGAACTGTGGCATCTCAGCTGGGAGGAAGCAGAGAGGGAAGAACCTACTGCATTCCTCCTAAGAATACACACTTAGGAGGAGTTCTGAATGAGCCCCTTGCTACCCCACAGCCTGAGACAAATCATTTAAGCTCCTTGAGCTTCAGTTTTCCTCAAGTATAAAAAGGAGATAATGCATCTCGCTTCTCAGGCGAGGTTCAAGTGAAGATTAAAAATGCAATGTCTGTGTACGTCTTTACAGACTGAAAAACCACTAAATGTTGGCAACTATGTATTAAAGTTGTCCCTATCATTCAGAGCTACCCTTGGTTTAGTGGCAGCTCTGGTGGATTTGAGCTAAAGCCCAAACCCAATAGTTTTGGTACAAAAGAGCCGAAATGAAGATGGAAAAACTGACTACGCTGTCCCCCGGGAGGCAAGGCACCCCCTCTGACTACAGTCCCCTGCAAGGAGAGCTCCAAGCTCTCACAATAAGTTTGATGTCAGTGTGGGTGAAGGGTGAAGGATGGTGAATTCCCTCCCCTCAGGCACCTGCAAGGCTGAGCTGAGGTTCTGTGGTCACAGAATCTGCTCAAGCTAAGCTTACTGTGGGTACCAGACTCCTTGAGAGGACATGACCCCATTTATACTCCTCGTGTGTGGCTCAGACAGAAAGGCACTGGGTATTCCGCCTATAAGTAGGGAAATAATTCCTAGTTTTCTCCCTCTCTGCCCTCTTCAGTCATCCCAGACTTATCCATACCTGAGATCCCCACCTCTGCCACCAAGAGATCATCGCTGGAAGCCGAGTTTTCAGCCAGACGCTTGAACTCATCCTGCTTCTCACCGTACGGGTACTGGGTGTCAAACTTCACCAAGACGAACTTGCTTTTGGGAATGACCTGAGGGCATACACAGCTGAGCAAGTGGGGGTTCCCAAGGACCTCTGGGGCTAATTCCCTTTCCCAAGGGACCCCTGTTTAAGAAACAGAGTGGAAAACAAGCCCACAAGGGAGACAAGCTCTCATATACTAACCTTCATTCATTCATTCACCCATTGATTCACTTAACAATTTGACGGTGTCTACTACTGAGTACCCCATTAAGTAGTTGCTCACACTAATCAAACTGTCTGGAACAAACAATGCTATAGATGTACTAAGGCCTTCTCCTCCAGTGGCCCTTTTGGTAAGACTAAGGAAACGCATCCTTAGCCACTTTACGTTGGCCCCTGTCGTGCCCATCATCCCAGGGGCCTTTCTCTGGCAATGAACCAGAAATCTGACCCAAACCAAACAACCGTCTATAAAGGAGTTGGCACCACGGAGGATGCTCTGGCTAGGGAGTCCAGAGTTTGCACTCTGCAATTTCAGGGCTCATAGGAAGTTGCTGAGAGGCCAGGCTTGGGACAATGTCCCCTCCCTAAACTACAGTTTCCTTGAAGTTAGATCTCTAAGACCTAAACTGTCACGGTCCAGACTTCTATTTCAATTATGGTAAAATTGACATCACAGGGATTTATTACATTAACTGTGTTGCACAACCATCACTAACATCTAGTTACAGAACATTTTCATCACCCGAAAAGGAACCACGTATCCATTAAGCAGTCATTCCCCAATCCTCCTTCCCCCAGCCCCCGACAACCACTAATCTGCTTTCTGTCTGTATGGATTTGTCTATTCTGATGGACTCATACAATAAGTGACCTTTTGTGTCTAGTTTCTTTCACTTAGCATAATGTTTTCA